TCACTTTGGCTTGAAACAAAAATGATGTTCTGATTCTAGACATTGAGATTTTGAGGCAAAAATTTCGGTTTCTGCTCAACAGTGCGGTGTACGTGCTATGCTTAATGATGAACCAAATATGGAAGAATAATTTGCCAAGGATTGAGAATAATCGGGTGTGAATTGTTTTGCGTGCTTACAAAACACGTAAAGAATGATTTTCAGAACCACGTTGAGCAAGGAAACCGACTTTTTTATTTTCGAGAAATACTCACTGTTATGTAAGATACGATGTAGCTTGATGAACTGATTTCGAATATCATCTCTGTAGTACTCAAAAATGTCTGTCTATTTGAAAAATAAAGAATTCAGGGGCATAGTATTGATGCTTTGCGAACCCACTAGCACTGTTTCTATTCATTAGTACAACTCATCTCTATCACCAACGATAAATGACATATAGAAAAATAGTTGATGAAAGTTTGGGATCAATCAACTGTGAATTATTTTGCTCATTCACAAAATACAGTATCACCAATTTTTTGAGCTCTTTTAGACCTAGTTATTACCATTTTCTATTCCATTATCTGGTCAATCGAAATGACTTGTTTCATACAATTCAAGTGTATGAACCAAGTATTAATTTCAGGCCATTTTTCATTTCAAAATATTTCCATAAATTACTGATAGAAATGATTTTCATATAATTACCGAACTCTGAAGACATTTTGTGATGGACATTCCCTCCGTTTGACTTGATTTATAGAGATCTTATTTTAGGATGAGATATACCAATTATAGTTATGTTTATTTCAATATTTGAACTTCGACAACATCAACTTTTGATCATCTCTACTTGGTAGGATCCGTCGGGTTCAAAACTTTTGGACCCGGATGCGGACCCAATCAAACCATACTTTGATACTCTCAATGAAATCTTCTCATCGGTATCGGGTAGTCGCCTAAAAAATACACGATAGCTTTCTCCGGCTTCATATATTTGGTTACTAGCGCATCCTACCCATTTTGCAGACGGCTAGAATCCATCAGATTTAAATTTTGCCGATCCGAACTTGATTTGGTTCGGCTTTGGGATCAACTCGATGGACTCTACCGCCTGATTATTCACCATGTATATACAAAGATGATGATTTATTTTATTTTTATATAGATGTTGTGGTCAACCATCAAGTTATGTTAAACAACGAACACCTCGTTTAGGTGCAAACAATAATACGGATTCAGGTTTGTTTAATTATTGTTTTTTTCGTTTTCCATGGTTTATTTTTTGAATTTATTAGATAATATTGCTCAACGTTCACAAGGTGAAATGATTATACCGTCAATTGAAATAATCAGTCCAACACGATCAAGTAGTTATGTTGAGAACACTAATTAACCGAACCAACAAAGCTTATTGTCAAATAATCTTGCCTTGCTTTCGTTGTTTTCCTCTTTCGATATTCAACACTATTAGTTACAGGAATTATTAAACATACACAGTCACTATTTCAATAACAGATTTCAAATATAAGAAACAAAAAAGCTTCTAAAATAACTAAAGATCTGAATGACGTGTATGCACAGTAATTAATCCCTTTATTTTCTATTTCCATGTTGTTTCCATTACTCTTTTTTCTATTTGTTAGTGTTGTAACTACAACTTTTTTTTTTTTTTATCATACATCGATGTTTATCTTTTTCTCTAATGCTTTTATTCTGTTTAATCTTCAATATTTTTTTCCACTTCATGTTCTCGTCATATTTATTAAAACAATTATGAAGAAAAATAATCATTATATGTTTCTTTCTTCCTTTTTTTCTTGCTATTTAAAACTAATAGTTTATTTCAAACTTAACGATCAATTAAAACAATTATAATAATGCTTTGGATTCAATTTTATTTGACTGATTGAGCAGAAAAATCTTAAATAAAAAACAACAAGAAAACATTAATATCAACTTTGCACACAAACAATAGCGAAGATCCTCAAAAAGAAATGTTTTATTTTGAATCTATGAACAATATAGGAAAAAAAAAAACTTTTTTTTTTCCGACATAATCATATCGCCATCCGTAAAAGATTCTTATAGAAAAATTCATTGAAGTGTATAACTGTCAATCTGATTGAATAAGTCTCTGATTAACAAGCTTGTCTTTTGTCGATATAAGATTTGAACGATGAATGATATACATATCATTTTCAGTATTCAATATTATGAATTGTTCTATTATTGTTTTAATGAATATTTTTTAAATAAATAATTGCTTTCTCTATATCAATAATTCTGATATACATATTCTTATATTTTTTTGTTAGTTAATTTTCAACAAGTATGTAAATAATATTTTATTATTTGATAGTATTCATGATTTAAATAGAAAGAAAAGTATCAATAAACCTTTTTATATTACGTCGTATGTTTCAATTAGATCGAATATTGTTTATCAACTTGACCTTTTCAATGATATTAACTGATAAATCTATTCATATCATTTCACCTTCGATATGAAGACGAAAGATGGGGCTGTAGACGATAATTTCAATTTAGTTTTTTTTTTTATTTCTATATATTACAAACACTTATGAAGTATAAATTCTAATCTTGATGGAAAGATCTAGCAATGTAGAACGAATCGTTGCCAAAGACTAAAATTGAATACTAGACTATAAACAACCATATATGAATGATTGTTCTTTAAACAAAAATAATATTTTGACGATAGCTGTTATCATATAAACACCATAATATCCAAAACATTTTTTCCGTTTGGATGAATCAATAAATCAGTGTATATGTCAATAATCTACGATATCAACCATAATTCGTTGATTCAGTAATTTCTTTTTTTTTCTTTTAGTGATTAATGAGAAAGAATGGATTAGAAACGACAGGTACACATATATGTGTATCCAAATATATATATATATATATATAATATATATGTGATATTCGTTACACAGTTACGAATAACAGAGACGGCAAGGTTTCAATACGCATATATTATACCTATATGCAAAGCACGCTTCTTGATATATATTATATACGCATCCAAATAAGTAAGAAAAACAGGTGATAATGTGTATGATTTGTCGAATAAACGGCAAAAGCAAATTCAATTCTACGGCTCTCTTCTTTTTTTTGTTTTTCTTCGATGCCTTTTATTTGGCATATACTCTTAACAATTACGAATTTAGACATTCTTCCATATATATAGATACGTATATGTATCTATATATATTCATTCAAATATTGGAAAATGTCATTGTTATATTAATGATTCTTTTATCTCTAGCAGTCATTTACTATTTCATCTGCAGGTATATATATAAATTTTTTTTTTTGTATTCTTCTTTATTTCTTTCTTCGAATATAAAGTAACACATCGAATGAATCTTCCGTGATCGTCGATGGAAGAATGAAATGATGATACAATGAAATGAAGAAGAACTATAGAGCATCTTATTCATCTGCCTTCTTCTTCTTCTTCGTCTTCTTTTTTCGTTGAATCAATCAAAGAAAAAAAGGTAGATCGATGTTTGATAGTGATAAATAACGAATGTTGTCATTTATTGAATAACAACTAGACAACAAAAAAAAAAAAAAAAAAAAAAAAAAAGAAACGAACGAGAATTGCTAACATGATATTTTTTAATCAGAACACTCATGTCATCATATATTTCATGTCATTTCTCTATTTTTCTTTTCTAAATACATGTATTTAGTTTATCAAACTATTCTGATCACTACTCATTTCCAATCTAATCAATCATATAATGCAAATCGTTTTTTATATAATATAATCTTTTATCGAGGTGAGTTATCTCTGAATTAGACAAGTATCAAAAAAAAAATTCTTCAAATGATAGAGAACAGAATCAACAATTATGATTGTCTGCCGAGTATTTTTTTTTTTGCTTGGCCGTTGTGTATACGCTTTTTGTGATACGGATTTTCTCGTCAGCGTTCATTCAGCTCTTTGCTTCTTTCTTTTTTTTCTATTTCTTCTCTCGTTCAGAATACATGATAGAAAAAAAAGCAAGAGAAACATAGTTATGTACTCGTCCTGATAATTCAGACTAGCGTTAGACACATTCTCATATATAGACGTTCTTGTGTGCACAAAGAAATCCGAGATTAACTAGAAGACTATGCAAGTATTCTCGTATTTTCCAAAAAAAAAAAGGATACAGATTGAACGTTTATAGAAGAAAAAAAAGAAAATACGATTCATTGTATGAATGATATGGGAAGAGAATTTTTTTGCTTTCCTTTTTTTCTCTTCTTTTCCTTTTGCTTTGCTCTGTCGTAGTTTTTTTTTTTGGTGAACGTGTCTTGCTTATTGTGCAAAGGGGTTTGTCGTTTTTTCTATCCATCGTGTCTTCATTTTTTTATGCTGCCGGAAGGCAACGTTATATCTTTCCACTTATCTACTTCGAATAGAACTGTTCGTTCTTTTTCCAATCGCATTATAGTGATACGATTCATGTGTCTTCTTAACAAGAAAGAAACTTATATTTTTTTATCTTCATATCCTTATATGAGAAATGATCCATGAATTCTAATCATTGCGTATATGTACATATATACATATATAAATATGTATATATATATATATATGTGACAAGAATTATTAAGAGTATCAGTCACTTGCACCCACTGTGTTATTGGTAGTTCCTATTGATACCTATCAAATCTCATTCTTCTTTTTTCTCATTTGAAGACTATATATATATATATATGCGTATATGTATATATTCAAATGAAATATTAAGTGATTTTTTTTCTTCTTTCTTTCATCACTTTCATTTTATACATACATCCATCTATACACCAAACAAACAAAGTCGAATAGGACTTTGAATTTTTTTTTTTTGTGTGTATAAAGTATTCGATAAAGAATAAAATAAACTTTTCTTTTCTTTCTTCTTTCACTCATATTTCATTCTTGGAAGAAGTTTTTTTCTTTTTCTTCTTCTTTTTTTTTTTTTTTTCTTGTAGAAATATAAATCGACAAGATGTTGATGCCATCTCAGTCACCACCATCGACGACCACTATTCAAACATTACCTTCAGATCAACAACAGCAACAAGAATACGTCGATAAATTAAACAGCCAAACGAACAGTACAGTTATAAAATTTCGACGAGAAAAATCAATGGAATTTGATGATGATACAAGATTTATTAGTAATATCAATGATGATATCAATAATAATCATTCAGTATTTGAATCAACAGATGATATGATAAAATTAGAATCAAATGATACATCATCAGTGTCAAGTACAAGTGAAGATTCACAACTAATAATACAAACTCCATCACCACCACCACCACCACCAATATTATCAAGTCCAAGTAAAAAAACATTTATTTCATTTACACAAAAACATATAGAGATATTCTTATTTTTAGCATTTAGTAATCTATCAAAACAAACAACAAAGATTTCTTCCAATCGTCGATCTGTTCGATCATCATCTAATCGTCGATTAGTTGGTGAAAATGAACAAACTACATTGACAAATATCAATGAACCTGATCCAAATGTATTTCTAATATCATCTGATACAAATTCTCATAATACAATACGAAAAACAAAACATGATGTTAAACGTTTTGTTATGTATATAGATGAACAATTTGAAGAACAAAAACCTTTACATACAATATCAGCTGAATCCTTATGTCGATATTTAAAACATTATTTTGAAAATACAAAAAAATTTGATGGTACACAATATGAACCAGATACATTAAGAAGTTTTTTATTGAGTATTGAACGTTATTTAAAAAGTAAAAAATATGATTATAATTTAATGGAATCACCATTATTTCAATCATGTCGACAAGTTATTATGAATAAACGTGAACAATGGAAAAAAATGGGTGGTGGAAATCATTTAAATAATCATCATCATTCAAAATCATCATTTATGTTATCAAATATTAAAAATTTAACTATATTTGATAGAACTAAACCTGATGGTTTATTACTTGAAATGTATGTTCATATAACAAAACTTTATCAAGATAAAATTTTATCAATATCACAATTACTTTGGAGTGATATTGAATTAATTGATGAACAATATCTTGTACGTCGTCAACAAAAACCAGAAAATCAAACCATAAGGTTGAAATAATAAAAAAAAAAAATAATCACTAATCAATTAATATTATGAAAAATAGTTGATTTGACTTTTATTTTTTTTTAGACTTTATGCAATACCAAGTCAACCATCAATATGTCCAGTACAAGCTTATCGTCTTTATGCAACACATCGACCACCACAATGCAATACACCTCAATCACCTTTTTTTCTTATGCCACGTGCTTCTAATACTCATCATATTTGGTAGAAATATATTTATTATTCAATTAAATTTACTTAAAATTTCGCTTTTATTTTTATCTATCAGGTATAAAACAACAACAGCTGCTAAAAATCTTGAACAAATACTTCAAAATGCTATTCAATGTAGTATTCTTTCAAAACAATCATCACCATCATCTTCAATAACAAATTTTAAAACTATTGAACGTTCATTACCATCGACTGTTAATGAATCATTATCTCCAATATCAATACTAAATGGAAAACGAACTGAATCACGAATGTCATCACCTGGTTTATTACCATCATCAAAGCGAATACATTCATCAACATCTTTAGTACAACCATTGAATCTCGTTATTTCAACAAATAATATATCTATGGAAGATGATAGTGGTACAGCTTCATCATCTCCAACAAATTCATTATCAAACGATGTTACACCTACATCTATATTAAATAAAAATTCATCATCAATAACTAATATATTTCATAAACAATCATCACCATCAATAACTAATCCGATTTGGGATGAAAGTGTTACTGATATATTATTGACTGTAGCAAAACAACGTGATACACGTGTCGTTAAAATAAATATTCTTCGAACATATCTAGAAGAAAAATTAGGTGTAGTAGAATTTTTATGTCTTTATCGTGGATTTAAATCGGAACCAAAATTAACATTTCATGGAACCCCATGGGAACATTATCAACGTTTTTTACCTGTTCTTTTTACGCTTCTCACACTTGACAATACGACTGTTTAAGCAATGTCGGTTTTTTTTTCAGTTTTATTCTTTTTTTTTTCCTATGTTTGTTTTTATCAATCAAGAATTATAATTTTTTTGTTGCTTTGTTTGTATATCTCAAAATATGTCATAGAAAGAAAAGCTAAAATTGAAAAAAAAAAACAGAAACTTATTTGAATATGCCGCCTTAGGAACAATATATTTCTCGTTTATTTCTATCGCAAAATGGCAAAGACTATGCATTTGACATGTTATTCACAGACACAAAAGAATTCATTAAATCAAAAGAATGAATAGTTTGTTATTTTTTTTTTTTAAAGTTTTTCATAACTAACTATTTTTCAATGGATTTTTTTGATTTCGATAATAATTTATATAGAACATTTCAAAACAAGAACAGTATGATCGAAAATAATGTTAATATGACTTGATATTTTTAATGTGTTTTTGCAAGAAACAAAAAACAAAACTCGATAATGTAATCTTTCATTAGACAACATTTCGAAAAAGAATTTCTGTCTATAAAAAAATCAAAATACAGTCGCAACAACTTATGTCAATCTAAAAACATATATCATTGAATATCAAACAATCTTTCTTAATAAGCAACATTATTATTTATTATTTAGATTTAGCATCTGCTTATAACTGACAATCAAGTGGATTTGATATTTAAAGAAATCCTAGAAAGAGAAAACATATGCTTTGTTTTTTTTTCTTTTTTTGCAATCAAGAAATATTCATTTCATGATAATATACTTTTATTTTCATCGCAAAATCATCACTTATGTTTATCTTCATGATATAACTATTAAACAATAAGCTATTATAAAATATATATTATACTAATAGATTTTATCATTTTTTGTGTGTATGAATCAATTCTTCTGAATAGTTTTCAAATACAAAATAAATAATGCACTACCAACTATAATATATCAATATGTTATAAATAAAATTCAAATTGTTCATATCTTGTATTGAAATTTTTGTACTAAGTGATACTATGAACTACATAGTACTGCCCAATAAATCTTTTTTTCAATATGTATTTAAAGAAAAAAAAAAAGATTAGAAATATCTGGTGCACCGTAAAACACACATCCTTCGCTTGTTTTTTTTTAGCAATTCAATACAACAAAACGCACGAATAAGAAAAAGAAAAAACAAAATCCCACACCCTAACCATTTGTTATACACACAAAATAAAAAGAAAAACAAGAACGTAATAGTATTCAAAAAAAGAAAAACAAAAGACAGGTCAATTAAAGTCTAGTGTTAAGGGAAGCATATAATCGATTAGATCAAATAGAAGCAAGGATGTTGATTATATGCAAAAAAAGAAAAATAGGTCATCTATAGGTGAAATAAAAACAAAAAAATTTTGTTCGATAGTTTTCTTGTTCAAATTAAACAGACAGCGTATATATATACATAGAAAAAAAACAAAAGAAAGAAAAGACTCAATATAATTATTGTACAATTGATTTTGTCATCGTCACTGGATGTCCAACATTAGCACGAACCGGTGTATCTCGTACAGATTCAACTCTAAAGTAAAAAAAACAAAAGGGAAGATTAGATTTTTTTTTTATCACAAAAACAAAAATTATGTATTGAAAGAACAGAAAAAAATTCACAAAATTTTGTTTCGTGATATTAGTTAAGTTCATACAAACAAAAAAAAAAAAAGATGTGCGATTTGTTGTAAAAATTAAAGTATGAAGAAAAGAACAAAAAAAAGAAAGAAAGAAGTTTGAAATAACTCACGAAGAACTACTAAAAATATTATTCAAATTACTTATTTTTTTCTTTATAAAACGATAAAATTAACGTTTTTACCTTGAACAATCAAAACTTGATAATGAATTTGCTGAATAATTTGTTTGTTCTTTAGTTTTTTGTTTTGATCTATGTCGATGTAGAAATGAAAGTTTTTTTGTTGTTGGTGTTGATGTTGATAAAAAATTTGGATTATCAACAATAAATTTATGTGTACCTAAATTTTTTGGAAAATTTTTATTTTTCTTTTGATTAATTATAGCAAATAAATTTACCATTTTCATATTCACCTAATGCATCTGCTTTAGCAACATTTGTTTTCTTTTTTGAATTTGATCGAAATAAATTTTTAAATGATTGTGATATTGAACGACTACGACGAATTGGCTTTGGATCTGTCACATTTCCAAGAAAATATTCTAGAAAAAAAAATATTCGATACAAAAAGTAAATATATACGTAGATATGTGTGTATATATATATATAGATATGTATGTGTATATTTTGCACTAACTCTATCATGCTTAAAAGTAAGGTCAAGCACATAAAAACATACCGGGGTTTGGTCCTGGTAAAGCTGTATAAAGTGATTAATATTTCAAAAGTGTTAGAAAAAAAAAAATTAATAAATCATTTGTTAATCCTCACCTGATGATAAACTATGTGAAACAGGATTAGTTTTTTGTGCTTGAATACTAGTGTTTAATTGTGAAATACTACTTGTGTGTGAACTCATACTAGTATCATGTTTGTCTTTGTTACGATGTTTTCGTCTTGGTAATGTTAAATGTTTAAGTGAACTCATAAATGATTTTGATTTTTGAGGTTTATCATGTCCAAGACCACCATCACGAGGTGTTAATGGTGAAGATTGCGAAAGTGGACTTGTGTTTGAATGAATGTTTACTGATCGAGGTAATGTTGACACAAAACCATTATCCTAATAACAAAATCATATGAATAATAAAAATTATAGAATTTCCATTCGATTCATATGTAGTCTTGCAAACTAATGCAATAATCAACAAATGAAGATTGTATTCATTGTTGAAAAATTTTCAATTAGTAAATATTAGAAAATCATGATAGAGAAAATACTGAAAAACAATTAGACAAAAATATACACAACGATATAATGCGAAAAATGAAATTTTAAAATTTTAGTATTCATTCTAGGTTGAAATATTGTACCCATCAATCTACTTTACAGATGTAATGGCATGCATAAGTCAGTCAATATACATTTGATTAATATCTTTATCTACAACTAGAGTTGTCACCAACGTCGAGACAGGGATCAATGAGATGATTCCACAATCTTGAAAAATTTTCGTTTTTCTTTTCGTTAATTTCCAAAAGAAAATGTTCAACTTCATCAAATCTGATCAACTTTAGCAAAAGTTTTCTAATTGATTTCTTGAGTTATCGACTCTCATCAAAACTCCTAATGGCCTTAAAATATTCATGGCTGCAGCTATTAATCACTAAAGTATCTAATGTGTCGGAGTTTATCATATAGAAGATTACGTGTTTGTTGTTCTCCTATCAACTCTAGAAGAATACTATCGATAAATTAGCTATAATTAGGTTTATTGTTATTAAAGATATTTACCATCCTCACCGAGGCGAAAGACGACGCGGAGACAATTGCACTTTAATAGCAGCTATGACTTATTTTTTGTCGGTTGCTTCGCCCCGTCTCTCTTCTTGTTTATCTATCGGACGAACAGCCTTTGATCATGTCAGCTATTAAACTTTACTGCTAGAAATTCTTAGCAAAGAATGTATATTAACTGCTGAACAGTTAAATGAAGGAATTTAATTATTGACAGACTCATTCTTTTGAAGATATCGTTTGTTTTATCACCTTATTTTATACTCATTTATTGCATTTATACATTAAATCGTAATCAATTGTTACATAGTAAATGATGAAAGATTATTCCTCAATCGTATACATACACATAGCTATTGAACCTCGTCTTGTCTTCTTCTTCATTACTTTTCTAGCTGTTCTGCAATTTCGTCTTTCATCAATACATTGACTTATCTTCTATTTTTTTTAACTCGAGGACATATTTCAGGTTCGTTTTCTCTTTTTCTGTTAACTTAAGGACATTTTTTTTTCGATATCTATCTTCGAAGAGAGAAAAAGAAGATGATTTTTTTTTCTTTATCTTCTTTGGTATAAATTCTTTTTTTTCCTCAATAAACTATTCATTCGTATCATTTTCATCTACTACAAAATGAGCATGCTTATCTAATTTCAATGTTGATTAATATTTATTCTGATAACCAATTCACCTAATTTAAGAATTAGTAAATTTCATTATACCGAGCATCATCTTTAAATTCATTTGAAAGTTAAGTTTAACTACAGAAAATAACTTAAGATGGAAACGAACACCCTATAAGTAAATGAATAAGTTCGATGATATTTTACCTAATAAAATATTCTTTCGTAGTATTTTCAACTTAATGTTGTTGTTCTAAGTAAGTATTTAAAAACATTATAAAGCAACAAACAAGAGGAAAAAATTGGTGAAAAAAACTCTTTTTAAATCATCACTAGATGCAACCACGCCGCGTCTATCGAACAATAATGAGGGGTGAGGCATAGTCGCGCTACCAATCAAGAAGGCTTTAGACGGTAGTCACCTCCGTCCCTAACTAGAGTCCATCGTCATTTTTTGCACTACTCTCGCTCCGCATTCTAGACATATTGTACATCTCTAATTAATATCTGATTAATTTTTGAATGATTTATGAATAAATATTTTCCATGATTTTAATATATGTCATGTAAAGGTGTCATCTTTTTTTTTGTTTTTTGTTTATTTAACTTACATCATCATATAAACTAGATGGTAAACCATAATGTTTTGGCAGTGTAGCTGCATCGTAAGATGATGATAAGAAATCATTGGATGATGATTGTTGATATCGTTCTGGATAATCTTGTTCGATTTTATGAAGTTCTATTTGAATAAAACAAAATGAAAAAAAGAATTTATTTCAATTATATTTATTTCAAAGAAGAAATTATTATAAAAGCATATAAGTAAAAATTCTACCTCGTTCATTATATGTCCAAACTTGACTGTCAGCTATACTGTCATCATCGTATCCATTGTTAGCTATGGTTAGTTTATAGAAAAAAAGAATCACACATATGTAATATGTTTTATTAAATGTATGAGTGTAAAGACATGCAAAAACAAAATATAGGCAGTATT